TGAACTGCATCTTTTTGATAAGTTGCACCTCGTAATTAAAACGAGGGCTTGTGCAGGATCTTCATCGTCATTCAAGGACATAACAACAGTGATCAAACTGAGGTTTCCAGAGGTTTTTAGGGCAAGTGACAGTTTACAGCAATGTGGTTTATCGAACTGACATTTACATTTTTTATTTAACCAATTGCAGTATAGTTATTTTAAGAATTCTGTGTGACAGATTTTTTTTACATTAACACAAAGAAAACCCTCTCTCACACCCTCTACTCCAAAGAACACCTAGAGGTACGTGTACCCCCGTTTAAGAAACTAAATCATCCTAATTTCTCAATAAATTGACATCATGCTGTTGAGATTAGTGTCAAATACCTTTAATGTAACAGACATGTAGCACAATGACACACGACACAAAAGAGCAGCTGAGACACAAACAAATAAACGGCCATTAGTGTAAGAGATTAATGAGGAGATCCGTTGACTTCCACACCCAATCTAATCTAATGACACCACTCATTCCCCTGTATTACCAGTATCCCATAGTCAGAGGGGGGTTAGTGTGTGTGTGTGTGTGTGTGTGTGTGTGCCCTGAGGCAGAGCTGCTGATAATACATTGGTTGGTGATGCATCTGAGAATGACAGCTGGCCAGTGAAGCCCATAGGCTGTTGGACCTGTTTAAAGGCAGTTTTAGTCACTAAGGAAGTTCAGGATTCGGTGTGCGTGTGTGTGTGTGTGTGTGTGTGTGTGTGTGTGCCCTTGCCACCTCCCTGTTAGGGATTCTCCCTAAAGAGCTTTGATGCCTTCCCTACATCACTACACGGGTCTAATCACTCGTACCAGCTGTCAGCATGTTGGCCTCCCTCCTTCCTTTCTCTCTCTCTCTCTCTGCGTCCGCTGGCACCACTTAACCTCACATCCTCTGCAATCGGCCATAATGGACTCTCACAGCGTTCGTACTGAAACATGATGAACATACATCAACCGCTGATCGGTCTGACTGCTCAGTCCCACACAGACACCTGAGGGGATGATGACATGCAGCAAAGGGCCGTAAGTTGGAGACAAACTCAAGCCGCTGTGGTAAGGACACCAGGTGAGCTATCAGGGAACCCCAAAATCCTTTTATTTCAATACGTTTTAGTGTGTAACGTGAAGAGTGTAAACTCCTCCCCTAGATGTTAAAACTCACCAAATTCCCAGAAACAACACTTAAGACGTAACCTCAGTGTCGTCACTGGTAGCTACAGCCATGTAAAGCAATGTAGGTTTGATGAATGCTACTCTAACAGTTCATCATGATGCATTCTCAGAAGCCTCTGTGGGATTTAATGGGTTGACGCAGCACTAACATCATTTAGGATGAACTTTTGCAACTCAGACCTTTCATAACTGAGCGGGATCAGGTTGCACTATACTGCGAACGCCAACACCGAGGATTTACAACTACAGAACGTCAGCTGCAGGTTCCACAGCCAAACACATGAACGACATTGATTTATTGACCGGGGTAGATGATAGTCAACCCAAGTGCTTAATGGCCTGTGTATGGATTTATGGGTTATGGCCCAATGGTCAAAAGTCTCCTTTGGTTCATACCTTCAGTGATCTTCTTGGCCAAGATGACCTCGAGGGGGATACATCTGAGGAAGCAGGCAGGACAAAGAGGATTTACAGACTCTGGGGATGTTCTCTGAACCAGTAGACTTACTGGACTTATGTGGTTTGCTCTGTGTGGTTACTCCTCTCAGAAATGGTCTTGTGTCCTTGAGGAGTTTCTACGGTGTTCTGAGACTGCAAGAACGCTCAGGAGAGGATGGTCAATTTGAACCCCTCACTGCTCCGCCTGCAGTCACTCACACACCCAACAACACCCTCAACCTGCCACCCGTGACCTTTTTTGTAACATCCAGGCTTGTACTGGTGAATAAAATGACTTGGCGTTGCCCTGGCTAACACATGTTCCTACAACATAAAATAATCCTCTTCCTGTGATGTGTCCTGGGATTGCGGCGGGCAGGGTAAAGCTCTCAGTCAGTTGTTGGCAAGTCTAGAACCACTGGATCCTTCCAGCCCACCAGAGTGAGTTCTACCATTGCCAAACACTGTGGGAGAGTGCACCCGTCACAGCCACCAGATCTGTGTGACAAGTAGGGGGTTCGGGTTACAGTGTCTCAGAGATGGGGCACAGGCCTCCATGGTAACCAGGGATATCTGAGAGGCACGGCGCAATTGATCTGATCCATAGCTCATCCTCCCCGTCCCTTCGTCTCCTCTCTCTTATGTTTCTCTCTCACAAAGATAACA